TGTGTGTTGCGTGTATGCTGGATCACAATGTAAGATGTATTTCTTACTCTAGGTACCATCAAAATAACTTGAAAACCACAGCCCTAAAGATCATCATACTCTGTGCTGTGGACCAGGGTACAATTTAGGGCCTGACCTGAGGTGAAATGAAGACAAATGAATGTGGAATGTGTCTGTGAAGAATGGCTGGTCAAGGAGGACTACAGTATCCTGAGTCTGAGATTAAATTTGCAAGGCAAGAGAGAGCACGGTGATTGAAGAACTCACACAAATTGCAGCACCTTAAGGGGAGGAAATGAACCTTTTTCCTCTTGCTGTGTTCTTCCTCTGCCTTGGCCCTGAAATAGCACCCCTGGACACCGTTCAGACCCACCAACAGAGTACAGTCACTGAGTTTTGGTATAAAATCCACATCTGGAAGGGGATGACTTGAGGCTTTAGTCAGCAAAGCATCATAAGATGCTATTTCTTTTCTCCCTTGCCGGGAAAGGATTAAAGACCTAATCCTTATCTATCTTCTGAGATTAGCCAGTTATTAATGTCATTTAAATTTAGCTGGAAAGGAAGTTAGAAATGTCCTTGGCACAGGGAACCAAAGAATAAATATTGGTTAGAGGAACTTGAAATTGAATGTAGCTCAGCATTCTCATTTATTTGCGGATGAGGAAGCTGACCTAAAGGCTTATGCCATCTCCAGTATTACAACAAAGTTGCTCTTGGCTTATATATACCAGTAATGCCAATGTTTATTGTCAATGGACTACATATGGATAAAGAAAAGAATAATGCTGTAACTATTCATTTCCCCACTCAAGGGCACACTCCTGGTGGGCAGGGATCATGCCATACATCTTTGTACCTTTGTTAGTGCCTAATGTGGTTGGGGAAATTAAATAAGATAATACCTGCAATGCTCTTAGCAGAGCACCCAATACACTGTAAGAGCTAAGTAAATGCTTTCATATTTGCTTTTGTTGCTTTGATTGTAATATGAGTTTCATTATTATAGAATGTTTATGCACAAGATATTCTTAATATTTGTTGATTTACATTGCATTGTACACTGAAATAAAATATTCCTACCCTTAAAATCCCTTTATATATGAAAGGACATTAAAAAATTACAGAGTTCTTATCTGCGTAAGACACTTTAAGTAAATAAGCCAAGATGAAAGAATTCCAATTAGTTAAAAACTGCCCAGAAAATTTCTTCTTAAGCATATAAAAAGTAAATAGACCTGGGATTCATGATTCCTAAAGATAATGCATCTAATAAAAATATAAAATCTTGTATAATACGAAGTTAAGTTCATTTTTCCTTAGGTAAGACATGAGGGCTGCAATGTCCGTTGGAGTCCATACCATTGGCCAGGGGCTGTAAATCCTAAAAGCAGAATGTGACTTCCCTTAGGAGTTGTTCCTCAGAGAGAGAACATCAAAACATTAAAAGAAATGAATCACAGTCTATTTTTTCTGAGGATTCCAACTATGTTATCAAAGATTTTTTTTCTCAAATCTTACAAGCCTTACAGCACCTTTCCCCTTGCTACTTTTGTGTTAGATAATTAGCATATAATTATGTGTTCTTTCACACTGGAAAGACTATGATTTTATTAACGACTCTTTGAAAAATTCTTTGCTATTTATCTTTGAAAGTGAGTTTGAAATCAAAGGCTTTCATGACTTTTCCTTTCTTTTTAACTTAGGAGTTCTTAAAAGTAATACAATAGGTGGTTATGGATGTCACAAACAGTCATAGGTTTCCATCTTTAGAGTGAGAAATAGAGTTCCGGAAACAAATGTTGCATCATCCTTTCTCTCCAGATTAAATGTTTGGGGTTTTGCAGAACACGTCTGTAAAATATTGATGTTCCAACAAGGACTCTCTACTCTTTGCCTTTTCCCCTTGGTAGGACAAAAAAGGAATGGGTCAGAACAATAAGCTTCCTGAATCTAGTACACAGACAGAAGAGGATATAATGCACATTTATAGTAGGAAGGACTATGTAAGTTCCAAATTAGTCTTAAATGAGGACTTGACCCAGCCCCTGCTCTGTAGTCAATTCTGGAAGGTACCACACATCTCTGCTGAGGCCAGGCAAGCCTCATTGCTGTTTTTGGCTGACTGCTTTTTTTCTAACATTAGACTTACCAGAGCACTCCAGATTGGATATGGGCAATTATAAGGGAGGATGTACATTATTGCAAATTTTAATCATTTCTCGGGCCATTTTGCTTGCAGTGATAATCCCGTAAGACCAACATATCTTGCATAAGAAACACAAAGGGCTTTTGGCTGAGAGCAGCTCTTCAGTTACTTTGTAACCTATTCCTGCTTAACTTCTGGATTCTCTAGTTTGTGGCTGGGCCCCACCAAATCAGGGCTTCAGTGGCAGCTGAGGTCCCCAGGGCCACGGCTAGCTTATTCAAGACTGGCAAGTAGAAAATACTACCAGTGATTAAAATAATGATCAGGTTTCTCTCAATAATATTGCTGCTATTTCTTATGGCAGAAAGCACCTCTGTCCAACACTTCCACTGTGGGCAAAGTAACATTGTGCCAGAGCTATTTCAAGAAGTTTTCTTATTTCCTATACTTTTTGCACTATTTCCATGGAGATGGCAGAACAATAATGACCTGATGAATTTGGAGACTTTGCTTTTTTATGGCCTTGGAGAAATTTACCTAGATTGTTTTGTGAGTCAAACTAACATCCATAATTGCACATCTTTTTGCCTAGCCCTTTGGAATGCCATGATGGTCCTTTAGTTGAAAATGTCTAAGTTGTTTCATTTTCACCAGCAATATTTTCTCTTGTGAAGGAAAAAAAAAATTTACTTTGATTATACTCAAGAAGCTCCTTCTTTTAAGCCCCCTTGTCTTCTCTTATATACGATGATGATGATTTTCCCTTTTTAAACGAGAACTATAGACTCTCAGAGTTGGAAGGAATCTTAAAAGTAATTTAATCCAAACACCTACTGTTGCATGAATCCTCTCTACAATAATCGTCACTGAGGTCCTCTGTTAACAGCTGTTCTCAGAACAAAAGAGATGAAAAAACAATAGGGTGTGCATTCCACTCTATGTCGCATGGCACCTTGTAACTAAAACTAGAGGATCCGGATGTGGTCTTCCCTACTCAAAGCTCTCAGTCTCCATCCAGCTTGTTTCATTACATTACAAAGAACTTATGAAGCAGAGACTCAATTTTAAGGTTGGACCATTGAGAACATGACCCAACAAGGCCAACAAGGAGTGAAGCAACACTTACAAAACAATTTAGTATGAGAATTTAGATCATGCTCGTGACCTCTTCATTTCAATGAGCCAAAAAGTTAAAGATATTTTTAAAGGTCTACCTCGTATGAACAGTACTATAAGAAACTTCCATCACCATTACTTAAGAATAAGTGAAATTATCTAGTATAAACTAGAGGTTAAGAGATTAGGTTCTGGAATGAGACTGTGTGGTTTGAACCCTGACTTCCCCAATAACTAGCTATATGACCTTGGGAAGTCACTTAACATTCTGAAGCTTTGGTTTACTCATCTGTAAAAAGGACATAATAATATTATCTTCTTCACTGGACTATGAAAAGGATTAAATGAGCTAATTCACATGAAATGCTTTCTTCAGTATAGGACATATGTTTTAAGTATCCAATAAATGTTAGCTTCCTCATGTCCACTGAAGTAATAAAAACATAGAATTTTGTTTTAGAGAGCTATTTTTTAAAAAATTGTTTTAGAATCTCAAATCTGCAGTGAATTTCCTTGAATGCTATTTTGGACTAAGAAGTAATAGTGTTAGGAAAAAAATATTTCATGCTATAAGTAGTTTATAAGGAAGTTTTATATTGCCAAGATGTTTTTAAGAAATCAATATGGATTATATCATGTGCTAACTAACTGAATAATAGCACTATTCTAATTAACTAATCAGGTACGCTGTGGATTTTAGAAAGGTGTGCCGGCATTTAGCTAACAAGTTAAAGTCATGAATCATTTGACAAAAATGTAAAGTTATTATTTGTGCTATTAGAAACCTGGTTACTTCTGTGTATGTTTGAACAGTTATTACTCAGTAGAATAAATTATATATCTGATGGAATTATAAAATAATCCTCTTGAATGTGTCCAGACAAGGTTTAAAAGAAACCTCCTATTATCAAACAATATCATAAATTAACCCATCTCTAGTTCGTTGCCTTTTTGTAAAACATCCCCATATACCAATATTCTGTTCTAGTCCCCAATTATCCACTTCTAGTCAATAATCTGCTTTCCCCTCAGAGAAAAAGCAAAACAAAACAAGCTTCATTTGCTGATTCTACAAAGAAAAGTATTTAAATTCTGCCAGTCCAGAATATCCATTGAGCTAGTTAGGAAATCAAAAAATAAAGCTAACTATTTTTTGCTTCCCTGGAAGTCAGTCATTGCAAGCTGAAATATATCATTGTCTTAAGAGGACTCTCTTCATATTGACCCCAAGATTCAGAAACTCCTCTGAGTGACCCATTGCAATGACCGCAAACTTAACCATTAGAAAACTATTTATTGCTCCAGAAATCAGGGAGATCAAAATAATTACTTCCAGAAAAATGGGAGAATTTTAGTTGGAAAATTTGATAGTCGTATATAACACAAAATCTTTTTTTGAGAATTTATTCAGATTACTACTCATCAGAAGAATAAGGGCTGAGATCACCTTCCCAGCATTTGATACACATTGTTGAGGGGCTTCACATTTCTGTTAGTATCTCATGAAGGAATAAACAGTGTTTATTAGATAACATGACAGTTGATGGCAATCCATAGAAGACGTTATTCTGAGTGAAATAAGAATGCACTATAAAAAAATGAGATGGGAAAAAAATGGACTATGGAAAATTATACTATCTCATTGCACAATCCCCACTTAGAGATGTCACTGCACAGGCCCTATGCTCTGTTAATTCAGAGACGCTTTGCTTTCACAAGACGGCTGTCCACTTACCCTGGTTGTTTTCACTTTATTCCCAGAGGAACAGCTCCATCCTTTCCTATCCGGAAGAACTTTACATTCCTCTCCCTCAAGACACGGCTGCATATGGCACCACCATTTCTGTTCCACTATTGAAGCTACAGGAGACAGAAAAATCAATTCAATGTTTTCCATTTGGGCTTGATAATTCTCTGGTCCACAATTAAAGAGGAAAAAATGCCACCAATTCTTCCCACCAGGGGTAGACTGAGTTTTGAGGCATGCTTCCTTTTTTGTCCAAAGGAGCTGAATCTTTCTAGATTTTCTGACTAAAGGATTTTCTTTTATTTCAAATTTTACTTTATTATGGTAAGAATACTTAATAAGAGATCTGCTCTCTTGACCAATTTTTAAATGTACAATACAGTATTGTTAACTATAGGGTACCATTGAAGGATTTTTCATGTGAACATATAGGCTTCATTAAAACTAATATATTAGAAAGAAACTATGAGGACAGGTGCATGCACTGATTTACATCAACATATAAGAAAATGAGCCCATGACCAGTTTAGATTCAATATTGTAGAATAAATGTTATATTTCCCATAAGTAGGCTGAAAATCAGGAGGGAATTAGAATTAACACTGTTTTCTCTTACTGTGGGCAGTAACCATTATCACAAGGCATGCACCATGCTAATATGAGCATAACAAATTGTTACTTATAGTAACATCACTTAAATAAACTCATATAAAGATTAATATCCCATTGTAATTAGATGCACCCTCGAATAATTTATTTTGATGCATATAATCACTATTTCATGTAAATTCTATCCACGACCAAACATTCACTCATATGTATGATGTTTATTTTTTTATTCTTAAGAACCATCCATAGGCTTGGAAACCCATACTATTTAATCCTCTATTTTTATCTTTCCTCTCCCAGTTAACTTACACCACACACACACCCGCCCCCAGCTGGCAAATCAATATTTCATGGTATCAAAGTAAGAAGCACATGGACTTGTTGGAACCTCATTATAACGTCTTTTGTAACAAAACTGCGTAAGATCTTAGACCTCCTTCCAAAGGATTTTAGACTTCAAAATGCCTCCCAAATAACCTCATCTCAACCACACGATTTGTAGGGTGCTTTCCCAGTATTGACCCCAGTCACCAGCATTATAGTGGGGTTCCAGTTCCAAGCAGTCCCAGCCACACCATGGTAATGAGCAATGGAAGAAGTCGCACCATCCACACAAGATGGAGCAGCTCGTGTGGTGCCTGCCACCTGCCCAGGGAAGCAGGAGCACTTGACTGTTTGTGACCGTTCTTCTATCTTGTTCTTATTACAGCATCTGTGGAGTGCCACCACCTCGCAAGTGCCCGTTTTAACATGGTGAGCTGCACAAACAAAAACAAAAGATGAGACAACATTGAGAAAGCTTTGGACACTTGCCCCTCTTTTTAATTAGAAGTACATTAAATATAGCTCTATAAGAGATCCACCATGCATGAAACTAGAAGTATAATGATGCTGACTCCATAATGCAGATTTGATTTCTTTTCTAAATGTGGTAGGACCATTTCTGTCAGTAAATGCTTGGTGATGCAGGAACAATTACTGACTAGATTAGAATGAGCTGTTAGAACCCTCTGAAATGTAGAGGCAATACGTGGTGCCATCAAAAACATATTTATTTGCATATGATTTTTTACACATTTTTGTTCAAAATATTAATCAAATTAAGGTAAAGCCCTGGACAAGGTGCCCTGCAAAGGGGCCGAGACGAGCCCAAGTCTCAAAGTGGGTGGAGCTCGATAAAGGTCATGTTCCTCTCGGGGTGAGTGGAAGGTCAGTTAGGGAACCTCTTTTCAGGACGTGAGAATGCAGAAGGGAGGAATACACCCCCTCAGGAATTCTTCTGCACCATTTCCCTGGAAACGAACTAACTGGATGATTCTCAAAGTTGCCGCCATTTTCCCAAAAGTTCTAGCCAATCTCAGGATCCAAAAATCATTCCTTCCGATCTTGCCTCAGGGGACAACTGCCAGTAAATGGCCCCAACTGCAGCCAGAACTTGGATGGATTTATATCCAGCCTAGAAACTCAGTCTAAGAAGCTGTGCGCCTCTCCTGCCCACTTCGTTAACCCCCAGTAAGTGAACCTCGAGGGTGAGCTTTTTGGTTGATTGAAATTTTTGGACCTCACTTATCACATTATGAGAGAGTTCTGGTTTGCCTTCATCATTATTTTTTTTCAGCATTTCTTCTTCAAAATATTAACCCTACTGTGAAATGATAAAGCAAAAGTATCAACTGCTAAAAATAAAAACAGCTTAAAAATCAAACATGCTGAAATACTATGCTTTAAGAAATTTTTAAAATGTGATTGACATAAAAGTTGACATAAAAACAGAAATTTAAATAGAAAAAGTAGGATATCTGAAGTTAATGTTATAAACATATTGCGACCCGTCATAAATGAGATCAGCACACCATGGGTTTATATTCATCTTCCCCTTGGAGATGAGGCACCACTGTGTAGTAACACTTAGTTATATCTTGTCTAGATTTTTCTTGTAGGAGAGAGAAGATAACACATATTGTCCATCTCATCCCTCCATGTAAGACCAAGAAACTCAGGTGTGACATACAGCTTTGATTTGTAATCCTCAAAAGGACTTTCAAGTAGCAAATACCACGTCCAAAATCACAAAGATTTTTCTGCCATTTTGGATACAAATGGAGATTTCCCTGTGTTAGATTCAAACATAAAGCTGTCTCTACAAAAGCTGAGAACTCGAGATCCAGACTTATATTCCTATCCTCTCGTGCTCTGGAAAATATTTTCTTAGCTAAAGATGATTCGGTTTGTTTTATTTCATTGAATGCTTTGTTATATTATTCAAGTCAATATACTGCTTTCTCCTGTATTTAGCCACCTTTTGAGTCAATCCAACACATCAGGTGTGGTTCTGAGCCCTGGGGATGCAACAGTGAGTAAGAGGGACATAGACCCTGCTCTCAAAGGGCTCATATTCCTGTGGGGAAAACAAATAATAAATACTTAAGTAATGATCAAGTAAGACAATATTAGATTTTTAAGCTCCTTGAAAGAAATACAGTAGCGTAATGTGATTGACAGTAATTAAGCAGGGAGAGAATACATATTTTAGCAAGAGTCTCAGAGAAGACCTCTCTGAGGAGGTAACTTGAATTATGATATGAAGGATAAGAAGGAAGCATCCATTATGAAGATCTAAGAAGAGAAGAACGTTCCAAAGAGAAGGGGCAGCAAATGATGAGATGCTGGAATGGGGAAAAGCGTGGTGTGTTCTCAAGACAGCAAGATGGCCAGTGTGGCTAGAGTGTGGTTGAACAATTGAGAGGCCGAGGGAGATGTGTCAGAAATATAGGAGGATCGTGAGGGGCTGGTATGCCACAGTGAGGAGACTGGATTTTATTCTCATCGCAAGGGAAAGCCTTTGGGTGGAAATGGTATCGCCTCATTGATGCTTTAGAAGGTTACTCAAGCTAGTCTGGAGAATGGACGGAAGAAAGCAAGAGTGCAGTCAGGGAGACCAATTATGAAGAGGTTGCAGGAGTCCAGGTGATAAAAGATGAAACCTAGACTAGACCAACAGCAGCAGAGTTGGGGAGAAGTAGCAGGTTAGGGATATTTCCACGTAGAGTTGATTTGACTCGCTAATGGATTGAGTGCGAGCTACAAGGGAAAAGGGAATTAAGGTTACTCCTCAATTTGTCCTGAGCAATTAGAAGTTGATGGCTTAGGTAGACATGGTAGGTCTGGGAGAGTTTGGTAAAGGGAGAATTGGGTTAGAATATCTGTAGTTGTGTTTTATCTCTGCTAAGTTTGAGATCCTTATGTGACACTGGAGTGGAGATATAAATCAGGCAGCAACATTTATGAAGTAGAGCTTAGGGAAGAAATCTGGGCTGCAGATACACACAGCTGAGAGGTGATATTTAAAGCCACAGACTGAAGCAAATTACCATGGAAAGGTTGCCAGTAGAGAAGAGAAGAAGAGAAAGAACAGTTCAAAACCTAGATCTGGAGCGGAGGAAATAGGAAAAAAGACTGATGAGCAGCACTAAGTGAGGTAAGACAAAAAGCACACGAGATGAAGGCATGGAAAACGAAAGAAGATGTTTCAAGAGGGAGGGATTAATCAGCTAAGTCACAGGCTGCCGAGAGTTTCAATAAATGAGGAGAAATAACTGTCTCAGAAATAGGACAAGGATAGTTAAAAGGACAATATGACGTAGTGGTTAAGAGCATGGACTCCAAAACCAGTTTGTTCTTGGTGCCGTGAAGTCGATTCTGACTCCAAGCGACCCTGTACACAGCAGAGCAGTACCCTGCCTGGTCTTTTTATGCCATCTTCCCTCCTTCTGGTGCTATATCAGACAATGCTCTGCTGCCGTTCAAGGCCAAGTGTTTTGCAAGTGTGTGGCCAGGTCCTTCTTCCTAGTCTGTCTTGGTCTAGAAGCTCTGCTGAAACCTGTCCATCATGGGTGACCCTGCTGGTGTTTGAAATAGCGGTGGCATAGCTTCCAGCATCACAGCAACATGCAGCTGCCACAGTATGACAATCAACAGACAAGTGGTATGATTCCCTGACCAGGAAAAGAACCAGGGTTATGGCAGTGAGAGCACAGAAGCTTGGGCTAGCTAAAACCACAGTAGCTGGATTTAAATACAAGCTCCTCCTAACAGCTGTATGACCTTGGGCGAGTTACCTAATATCTCTGAGTAGCAGTTTTCATGTCTAAAAGAGAGATATTAACAGCACCGTCTTCATAGGGTTGTTAGGGGATTAAATGTGTTAGCACATATAAAGTATGTGTTAAACATACTTTCTAAACACTGCCTGCCTCATAGTAGGCACCCTGTAGGTGTCAGCTATTATTATTGTTAGCATTTGCCTTTGTAAAAATCATTTTAGTGGCATGATGAAAATAAAAGCATGATTGAAATAAGTTACGTAGAGAATGGGATGTAAAACTGCAGACAATTATAAAACTTTCTTTCACAGAGTTTTGCAGTGAAGAGAAGGAAATGGAACAACAGCTAGAATGAAGCATGGGGTCAAGGGATGTTTTTTTGGGGGGAAAGAAGATTAACCCTGAGCTAACATCTGCCACCAATCCTCCTCTTTTTGCTGAGGAAGACTGGCCCTGAGCTAACATCCGTGCCCATCTTCCTCTAATTTATATGTGGGACGCCTGCCACAGCATGGCTTGACGAGCGGTGCATATGTCTGCACCCGGGATGCGAACAGGCAAACCCCGGGCTGCCAAAGTGGAACATGCAAACTTAACTGCTGGCCACTGGGCCAGCCCCTCAAGGGAAGTTTTTTTAATGGATGCCATAAAAGCATGCTTACTTGCTGGAACAGTCTGGTAGAGACAGAGATTGTCAATATAGGACAGAAAATGGGTAATTAAAACAATGTTCTTGAGGAGGAAAAAGGAATTGAGATTCAGGGCACCTGGGGTTGGCATCAGATTGATGTGTGGACACTTAATCCATTTTAACAAGAGTGAAGGTGAGACATGTAGATACAGAGGCAGGTGGGTGTGAGTGGACTAGGTGGTGAAAAGATGGGCAGTTTCTCATCTGATTTCTTCTAACTTTTCTTTGAAATGTGAGTGATGTTTGAGAATAAAAAAGAGTGAGTATATGAAGTAGATATCTCAGAAAGGGGAAAAGTAAGTTTACTGGGAAGGAGTAGTGGGAGCGTCTGTGGGGAGTTGGCTGACAACGGCTGGAAACGGCAGAGGATGGAGGTGAGGTAGGAGAAGAGGTGGGGTTACAGAGCAGGACGGGGATGAACATCTCTGCGAGGAGAGATGTTGTAGGATGCTTGGACTTCTGATGGTGATTCAGGGAAACAGAGATGTAAGCTATGACGAGATTAGTCCTGCAAGTCTTTGAGTGGAAGCCAGGTTACAGACAAGAGATTTTTAGGGCTTATTCAGATGGTGATGCCGTGAGGCACAGCACTGAGCTGAGGCAGCTTCAGGGAGAACTTCACGGTGGCTCTGTTCTCTTCCACAGTACAAGGCAGCCAGGAGCACACAGTGAGTGTCCACTGGCCTCTCCCTTGAGAAAAGAGGCATCATTTCAGCACGAAGGCCATTTGACCATCTTTATTATAAGGAGATTTCTTCATACGTTGGAAAAGAATGGACAGGTGAAGATGCTCATCTGATTTCCCCTTCCCACTGCCAATATCAAAATTCATTTCTACTTTGCCTGACAAGAAAAATAAGAGGACAAAGTCTTGTGGTTGTCAGTAGTGCTGTTCACCAAATATTTCTGGTTCTCTCCCTTCTGGACACATGGTAGTATGTACTTCACCCCATTAGATTTAGAT